GGATCTCTGCTGGTGCCAGCTTTGGACCCATCTTCATCCATTTGCCTGCGACGTAGCCATTTTGGAACATCGCTTATCCCCTCATCTTTTCTGTTTGACACTACTCGCACCATTTCGGTCCGTGGATTTGTATTGTATATGCAGATCGGCTTTGTTCTGGTCGCTCCCCGATTTAGGCTGAAGCTGACCGCTGTTTTGCGCATCGCATCCTCTGGCCAGCGACAGCTTCAAAGTCGTTTCACTCCCAGTTTGGCCTGTGTTGTCAGCCACTTATGCATATCACCGTATGTATGCGCGGAGTCCAGTCTTTCCACCTTCCACTGCTCGGATTTACAAACACTCCAGTCTGGAAATGCGTTCGACGGTCGCAGTTTTCCGGTCTACCGCAGCCTACTTACTCTTCAGAAACTCGGGGAATGGTATAAATCGACAGGAATATGTATAGTGGCTGACGGCACAGTGACGAGCAGCAACTGTCAAGCCCACAACGGACAGTCGACACTCGACAGCGGACAGCCGACAGCGGACAACAGACAGTGGGACAGCGAGACAGCCGACAGCCCAAAGCCCACAGCGGGACAACCGACAGTGGGACAGCAGACAGCCGACAGCGGGACAGCCAACAACAGACAGCGGGACAGCCGACAGCTGGGTAGCGTGGCATCCGACAGCGGCGCACGTCTGCGGTCTCCCCGCGGTACTTGTCATTCCGATCTCGGGCCGATATTCCGTCCCGATGTCATCACGGCTCGGACTGCCCGACCACGGATGTCGATAGGCAGCCGGCACGCGGACGGACGGGGATGAGGCCGGGCGGAGTGGAGACGGCGGCTCCCGGGGGACCAGGCGCCGCTCAGATAGGGCGGACTCGGGGATTATCAGGGAGGTGCATGCAGGTAGGATCAACTGCAGGACCCACGGGGAGGTTCTCAGGTGTTAGGAGGATGGACTGAGGGATACACATTACACATGCAAGGGGATGGGGAAGAGCCGCTCGAGCCGGGCAGTTGGTGGACTGACGACATCTAGATTTTTGAATTAATTGTGCATTTTTGTGAATTTTTGTGAATTTTCTCGTGATACCTATAGCATTATGCAATGCATCCCATGTTCCGTGGTCTCTCAGCTTTGTTCGCTCCAGCGCAACAGCAATCGTGTGCATTATTATCCGCTTCCTAATTGGTTGGTATTACATTTTTAGTACATTTGTTGAGAATCATGATGCCACCGCCCGGCGCCCGGCGCGATCTATCATAATATCGCGCTGTGGGCGACCTCTGGTGCCTGGCAATGAGCTCGCTTCCCGAGGCCCGTATGTAGATGGCAGCACAATATCACTCGGACCCGAGACCGCGTTTCGGACATCTGACCTGCTTTTAGCAACTCTGGGGCTGTCGGACGGGAAGATTACGCCTATTACGCCTTTGTCTTTTGGTCTCTCTTTCATTTTTTTTTTTGCTGATAAACACACCGCACGAAGAACATTTAGTATTTTGTCCATGGATTGTAGCTGAGCCGACATAATCTCGTCGAAGGATCTCAACTCATCACGGCTGTTTTCCGATCATTGCTAAATTCTGCGGAGCGCCATATTCAGAGGTGATTCGCTATTCAGTCTCCGATCTTGGCTGGCTTAGCGAGTCTGTCACATCTGATAATAGGCTGAGCTTCAGTTCAGTTGCACCTGTCCCGGATGAGTAGTGAGTACCTACCTGCCAACTGCAGCATTCCCGAGGCGGCTTTATACGTCCAATTATGCTGATCCCGGCCGTCCCTCCATTGAGTCGGCCGTATAGCTCATCGGTCGTCTCCTAAGAAGCGGCTGAACATACGAGTATCCCCTAGGAGCGGCTGGACATCTCTCTCGCATGGTGACCAGAGATCTCTCATCTCCTTCCAGGACAACTGGACATTTCCCTCAGGGGCAGCCAATTGTGTCTGGGAACCCTGTCGTCCAGAGCGCTGGCCTCTACAGGCCCCGTTCGGGGTCTAGAGAGAGATGGGCCCCGTCTAGAGAGCGGTGGGCCCTGTTCAGAGAGCGGGGGTCCCGGAGGGTGGTGGGTCCTTGCTCGGGGACAGTGGGCCCTCCGGTAGACCCTGTGTCCAGGGCTGCGGGGTCGATGGACTTTCGGCGACTCTGACTCCGCCTCCGACTCCGGCTTTCAAAAACTAGCTCCGACTCCGAACGACTCCAACTCCGACTCTGACTCGGGACTCCGCAGACCTAGCAGGGCTGCGGAGTCGACGTATTTTCGATGACTCCGACTCGGACTCCAGCTCGGGTTTCCAAATTCGACTCCGACTCCGACTCCGACTCCGCAGCCCTGCCTGTGTCAGTGTCGCCCGCTGCAGAATCTGGTTATCCTTGGTTTTTGTTCCTCTCTCCACCATTGCAGATGCTGTGGTGTGTTTGCACAACGAGTCGGTATCCCAAACAAGGCAGTACGGACGCAATGCGCTCCCTTCACCGCCGCATCTGGCCGTGGCCGTGATTCCCGCTCGCCAGCATTTGGCATTCTGACCTTTTGAGTTGTTTCAAACTTATTGGTAATAAATCCCGGTTGCTGCTGATAAGCAGCAATAGGCATGATAAAATAATTCATTAGAATGCGACCATTCCGGGACCGTGGCAGCCCTCGAGTCGCGTCTGTCTTTGAATATAATTCACTGGTCTTAAACGGGGCATTGCAGCCTGCAGGCCGAAAATATCTCCTGGTGGTCTCCCCGTGTCACCTGATGTTCTCTGACGTCTCGTCGTGTCTCCTGATCTCTCTCCCGCAGCGCACCTTCTTATGGTCTTTCTCCCCGTCTCCTGATGCCTCTCCCCGTCTCGTAATGGTCTCTCTTTGTCTCTGTCTCTCTGCATGGAGACGGAGCCGGGTGACAGACGCCGTATTGACGCGCCGCTATCGGCCGTACTCAGACACATGGTCACCGTCCTGGCTGACGGCAATGACAGCGATAACGGCTGTCCCGGCTGGTCCCAGCTGATATTTTTCGTCGTCATCGACCGCTGTCGGCGAGCAAGCATGGTGATGGAAACATTGACGGCTACCTTATGGGGCCGATTTCATAAGGCCACCCATCGTTATGACTGGGTTCGAACTCGGATGGGCCGGTGGCCTGGGGGTAGAGGAGACAGAGGCGCTTTTTCTTGTGATGTATTATTATTTTGCTCATTGGTGGACCTAGGAAAGCAGTTACATGTCTGACACTGCAGAGTGTAAGGGCCATACTGAGTCTATACTCAAAAAGTTTTGCTAAATATAATGCTGGGATTTCGCTTATGAATACGTTTTGTTCAATTTATCATTTGTTTTCCATGCCGTGCAAAGGACGCCGGACGGTAAATTCCCATTAGTGTCGAAGCATGAGATGCAGCATTGCCTATTACGCTCATCTGCATCTGATGGTAGATATATGTGATGACAACGCACAGTTACCTATAGCATCGCACGGGTGATAGGCAAAATTTCTATGACAGCTACATGTCTATCTTCCGCGACACGTTGATCTTCACATGTCTGGAACGCACATTCCTGCTCGGTGTTATTCGAAGGTGATAAAATTGCCGAAAATAGCCGAAGATGCGCCATCAGCACTCTATCACGCCGGATTTAACTGATAAATGATTAATCTAAATATATGCCGACATTTTCCTTCATGCTGAATCGCGATCTATGTAGCATCGATGTTCCAGATTTAGGTATGCTTTGATAGCGATGCAACTTCAATCTCCATCTCTAGCTCACCCGCGTGCCCGCTCGTAATGCATGCATGTGCAATGTGTGCTTCATGCACATATGAAAACCGAACGGCGTGTGCTGAGAATATACCGGGAGACGGTCTGATGTCACCGTCTCGACGAAATGCCCATCAGCATTCACGGATCGACCCTCTGCGACCCGGGTGCCGTCGCCGTCCTTCTGTCCTCCCTCACGACCCGGACTCCGCGCCGGGCCATATTTGGACCACTCTGCCGTCTCCGAGGTCGTTATCACTCACAGCAGCCATCTCGGGGACGTCGGGGTCACGGTGGTTCGTGACAAGGATTGGCGAGCGATTCACGGCGAGAGATTATGCAGCCCCGCGCGATGGCATAGCTGTCCAATGAAAATGTCGTGGAGCCCGAAAGAAAGACCAGGACTCGGGGGGACACGGGATATTGTCACTTGTCACGGTCTGAAGAACGGGAGTTGGAGCCGACATGTTTACTGTTGACAAGATGTCAGATCGGGTTAGCTGGCCCGGGCACGCGGCCGGAGGTGTTGATAAACGCCGCAGGTGTATTTATATCTGACTGACCGGAGACAGAGCAGTCAGGTGACCGCGCGGCTGGGCGAGTCGGCTGATCACCTGGGGGTAAACAAGAAGGAGCCCGGTCCGGAAACGCGCCGCCCGTGGCGCTGCGCCACCGTGCCGGCTGCCGCGGACATTCCTTGGCAGGTGGGCTGTGTCCGCCGGCCGCTGCGGCGGCTTGACGCCAGCTGTGGCAGCTCGGCGCCAGCTCGGGCCGACCGACACACCCGTCTCCGCCCGTGGCCGCCGTCTCCCTCCGCCGCGGCGCGCGGCCGTCATCGCGGCCGGTGTTCCACACACGCTCGTCCGACGGCCGGGCCGCCGCTAAATATAGCGACCCACCGCGGCAGCGGCCGGCGGCCGCGCTCCCGATGACGCCCTGGCGGCGGCACACTGCCTGCCCGACCTGCCCGGCGGCCTGACCGGGCTGCCACACCCCACCGTCTGCAGCACCGTCATCGTCCTGACGCACCACCGTCACGCGGTGCGCGTGACCCAGTGGACCTCTCGGCCGCTCAGCTTCTCTCGCGGTGAATCAGGGATACGTCCGGTGAGGTGCCGACCTCCGACGGTCGACGCAGCCGGCTCCAACTGGGCCGCAACGCGGCTGCCAAGTGCGGCGCCGAGCCTGACCTGTCGGAGTCGACGGGCTGCAGTATGCGCCGGCGACGGTCTGCGGCTGGTGCTGGCTCTCAGGAACCGTCCGAGAGTGCTGGGGACCTCTAGGAGTGCCGTGGGTGTTGGAGACCGTGAAGAACTGGCGACGGAGCGGCGGCCGGAGTCGGACTGAAGCGGTCTGATCTCAGAAACAGTGAGAGTGACGAGTGGAGTGGTGTGTGGCTGAAGAAAAGTGGTAAACTGTGCAGGTTATTTCCTCTGTGAGGAACAGGTCTGAGCGCGCCCAGTGAGCTTAGGACAGCGGTGAACAGCACGGTGAGAAGGTAGTCCTTCCCGTGAGCTCGTCTATTGCCCTCTGTGAGGGTGCCCCTCAGGTCACGTGCCGGTCACGTGTCGGCAGCAGGGGTCACCGGGGATCGGACACAGCCGCGGAGGAGCGCACCGGTGGACGGCCGGCCGAGTTGGCCGCCGTACCGAGGAGCCGCTATTTTGATCACCACTCGGCGCTGACCGGCGCCCGTTCGCGGGCCGCGCGGGACCGCCTCGGTCGCCCTGTCGGCCGCAGTTGCCCCCATGACGGGCCGTCCGCGGCGCGTCTACTCCCGCTCGCGCACCACCGCGCTGGCCGGTCCCATGGAGACGGAGCGGAGCGGCCCGGCGGCCGGCGGCGTGCTGCGCACCGGTCTGTCGCTGCTGCAACAGCTCACCGCCCGCGTGCGCTCGGCCTCGGTGGTCGACGGCGAGGCGCAGGGCTCGCCGCCGCTGGCCCGCTACCGGCCAGAGTTCCGCAGCGACGTGCACTACCACCCGCTGGTGTACAAGTACGCCCAGCTGGACCGGTCCGGCCTGGAGACGGCCAGCAAGGTGGCCCGCTGGGAGGAGAAGTACGGCCGAAAGCCGGCCGCTGGCGCTGAGGCGGGCAACCAGGAGGTCACCGCGCAGCCGACAGCGCCCCGGCAGGACGCCAGCGGGGCGCCGGAGCGCGGCTGGCCCGAGCAGCTGGCCTACGGACCGCTGTACGACGCCTACGAGCGGTCCAGCTCGCGCGCCTCGTGGCGGGAGACCGGTCGCACGGCGGCTGACGGCGCGGAGAAGGAGCGCAGCTCGACGCTGACCGGCTCGACAGCCTCCAGCGCCGAGTCTCCGTCCACGCCGCAGTGGTGTGAGAGTGCCGTCTACGAGCCGTGCGCGGCCCGAGCGCTGGACACCCAGCACCGCGGCCGAGAGCACCGGCCCAGTCCGTCCGAGCCGCCGCAGGCTCCGCCGACTCCCGCCCGGAGAGACTCGCGCCGAAAGGAGTCCCTTCAGGAGACGGTGACGGCGTGCCGGCCGGAATCCCGTAAGGAATCGCTGCAGGATTCGTCGCGGGAGTTCCAGCGGGGACCCTGTGACGACACGACACGTGTCAGTGCTCCCGACACGAGGGGCCGCTCTGATGCGGCGCACGGGCCGGCCGGGGGCGAACCCACGCTCGGCGCGCACGCAGACGGGGCGGCGCCGGCCGTGCGTGGGGAGTGCCCCGCGCCGCCGCCGCCGCCGCCGCCGCTGGTGTCTGGAGCGGGGCCCGAGCGGCAGTCGGCCGGTCACCGGCCCACACCGACCGACAAAGACGCCGCCGACCGCACGTGCGGCCGCCGAGACGAGCCGACCAGCCGGCCGACGGACGGCTCCGGGGGACAGTCGGCGCCGATCACCACCGGAGACGAGACGGTCCCGCCGCTACGCAGGGGCAGCAGCAAACTGGTGCAGCCGGCGACACAGGAGAGTACCGAGAGGCCTGTTAGCAGAGAGGAAGTGATATCGAGTCCGCGTGGCCGCCGTCGAGGACAGGCGCAGTCTGGATCGATTTCTAAGTCAACGTCTGCCGCCAGTGAGAAAGCTACGTTAAAAGAGCGGCTTTTCAGTCCGTTTTCGTCGAAAAAGAAGCTGAGTGTTTATAACGCTGATAAAAAGGCAGAAGACAAGCAAGACGAGTGCAAGAAAAATCTCACCGAATTGCTAGTGTCAGCATCAGGTGTTGCTGCCCAACCAGTTGACTGTACAGTTGCCGAATTGCAGGCTAGAACTATTGAAAAACGAAACCCGGTGTTGAAGAAAGTCGCCTCCGAGGACTCGACCATGGTGAACGACAAGCGGAAGCCACTGAACGGATCCCTTCCGGACGAGTACCTCCTGCACCGAGCGCTGGACAAGCTGGACCGGCTGCAGATAGATGACGGCAGTCCTGTCAGTCCCAAGACGTCTCGGCGGCGTCACGATGCGCCCGAGCTCGCGCAGTCCACCGATGATGACGATACCAGCAGACGTAGTGACAAGGAGGACCGCAAGCGCAAGCTGTTCCGCTTCAGACCCTCGCTCTTTAGCCCGTCCAAAGACGAAGCTGCCAAGCCGACCGTGCCCGAGGGTGTCACCCTCCGCAGCCGACCGGACGGCGCCTCTGGTGACCCCCTCTCGGCCCTGAAGCGCTCCTCGTTCCACCTGGAGAGCAACAACAACGAGTCTCGCTCGCTGCACAGCTCGTTCCACGGCGGCGGCCGCGCCCTAATGCCCCTGCAGAAGTCAGCCTCGGCGGTAATCCGGCCCTCCACCCGCGACACGGCCGCCTCTAGGCTCCGGCTCAACGACTACGATCCAGCGTTCGGTATCTACTCGCGCGTGGACGGCGTGCGCAGCCCCGTGGCCGGGCAACACGCCGAGCCGGGTCCCGCGGGCGGCGCCGTCACCGGCGGAGGCGGCGTGAGCTCCAGGCTCGACGACGTCTACTTCGGATCGGCGTCGGCGCGACGGTACCGCCGGATCCGAGAGGAGGCCAAGACGCGCGGCGGCCGCCCGAACGCCGTGGTCAAGACGACGTCCTCGAAGGTGGAGGCTGCGCTGCCGTCCGTCTGCTGCGCGCCCGTGCTCAGCGCCAACAGGGCCAAGCTGCTCAAGGCAAACAGCCCGTTCGCACGCGTAAGTACCTTATACGAATGGACAGAGTGGAGCTCTTTCGATCGCTATTGGCTGGTCGTCCAATCCTTTTGATGGTGTCAGGTTGTATCTACTTCGAAGAAAATCGCTGAAGGAGATCCTTATTGCCGTTTTATGTCTGATGTGCTATTCACTTGAACGTCATTCGTTATTGGGAGAACAGGGGACTAATAACGTTCAAAGTCCCATCGTCAAAGTGATTTAGTGTTGGGTGAGTAAGGTCGTGCAGGGCTAATTGGATGTGCCAGACTCGTTTGGGACAGTCGTCAGCTTCATTCCGTGTGAGTCAGTCGCCATTGCCCATTCCGTCCCGTCCTCGCAATGAATTACGAGTGCCCCTAAAGGTGCCAAATAAATAGGTATGAAAAACGTGTGTGATAGAAACGGTATACAATTTATAAAACGAGTAAAGCGACCTTGACGTGAGAATTACGTCTTCAGAGCTCAGAGAATCCCTCCGGAGTGCTTACAATTGCCAGAATGTTTCATCTTGGTTTCACCAGCATCAAAGGCTTCCCTTAGCTTTTGTGCTTAGCGCTGCACTTGGCGCTGAGATCAAACGAGTTTTTGGAGTACCTTCAACGGGAATGCTAGCAGGCGTCAAATACATCTTGCGTTGCGTTGAGCTGCGCTCATTCAAAGGTAGACAACGTTCTCGGGCGCCGGTCCACCCCAGGGTCATCCGTCCTCATTGCACCTTGCAGTAAATAGGTACTGGTATCTCGTCCGGGCGGAGCAGTGTCGCCTTCCTCGGGCTCGGCCCGGCCGGCCTTGTGACGTGTGCCGGCCGTGTCTCGGGGGCGTTTTTGGACGTGTGATTGGGAGGTAGCGCGGTATGTCGTTTGGACCGGCCGCCCGCCTGCGGCTGCCAAATCGGCCGTCACTCGGCGGGCTGTCTCCGAGACGGAGCTGACTAGGAAGTCTCCCCGCGACACACCCCCTCTGTCCCCTGACGGCTGACAGACAGGCCCTCTCCGTCACAGCTCTCTGCCTGATGTCTCTCCTGTCTCTGTTCCTGACTGAGTCTCAGTCTCTGTCTCTAGGTCTCTGTTCCCGTCTGTCTCTATCTTTCGGTCTCTATCTTTATGTCTCTGTCTCTGTGTCTGTCTCTATGTGTCTGTCTCTGTCTTTATCGTTATGGCTTTGTCGCTATGTATCTGTCCATGTCTTTGTCTCTGTCTCTATGTTTGTTTCTATGCAGTTTCTATGTCTCGTCTCTACGTCTCTCTGACTCCGTCTCTGTCACCCCTCTTCCTTCTCAATTTCTTTCTTTTTCATCCTCTCTCTCTCTCTCTCTCTCTCTCTCTCTCTCTCTCTCTCTCTCTCTCTCTCTCTCTCTCTCTCTCTCTCTCTCTCTCGCCTCTCGTCTCTCGTCTATCGTCTCTCGTCTCTCGTCTCTCGTCCCTCCTCAGTCGTCGAGCGGCCCTTGTCCGACCGCGACTTCTGATGCACCCACACGGCATTGTTTATCTATTGAGATGGATGGATGGGCAATGCGCATCCATGTTTGCCATGTTGTTGGATAATGTTGGTAGGTACAATTGATGTTTCTTGGAAATCCTCCCCTATGGACTATACCAGCTTATAGCGTTTTGTTCCTATCGGCTATCTCCTCTTCCCTTTACGAGACATGGCGATCATATTCCAGCCAGTTATCCGACGATCCCTCTACCTCCTATCATCATCCATGCTTACCACTAGCAGTGCAGTCATCCCTCTCCGCCCCCATCCATCGCGCCATTGAGCCGTCTCCCTGCTGCGACTGCGACTGTGGCATTGACATACACCCCGGCGACCCTGGACTGACCTGACCTGTAGTCCCTCGCTGTCGTCAGGTGTCGCAGGACCACGTAGAAGATGATGAGGACGGGCACCTCATCTACCGCAATGGGGACGTCATCCAGAGCAGATGTGAGTCTCATTGTATCCAGTCTTGTAAAATGCCTTTATTCCCGGACCTTCCTGTTGAGTCGAAATTACAGTGTCCAAGTGCGGGAACAATAGGTAAACGCAGTAAACGTGTAGGTATATTCATAACGTTGGACACAAAAAGAAGAAATATACAGATACCCAGTGGCGCGGGAACTTCTTCCAGACTGGGGGGGCTGAACCATAATAGAAATCAACCTAGGGTACCCCCAAATCTAGTTTTCTCACCGGTTTTAGGCCACTTATTTTTCAGACCTTGGCCTTTTCAACAACAAAAAAAAACGAAAATATTTTCAAAAAGTGAGGTATTCCGTCTCAGCTGAGTGAAGAAACTACCGTTTTGGCAACCTGGAGTAAAGGTTTTAATCTGCCAAATGAGTTGCCGAGCCAGTGAAATAGGTGGATTTTTTACTTACATGCTTTCTTCCTTTGTGACCCACAACCCCTAATTTGGGGAGGACAAGCTGCCCGACGGTTCCTGGCCTCATGAAACGTTGTGGGGCACCGCCCCCACGGCCGCAGAGTTGTGGGGGCAAGCTTCCCCCACTGCCCCCTCCCCCGGTTCCCACGCCTATGTATGAATCTATGAAATTATGTTGGTAGATTTCCGATTTCGATTCCTCCAGCTGGGGGGGCTCAAATACATTACGAGCCCCCCCAGCCGAAAAGCTGGGGGGGCTCAGCCCCCCCTAGCCCCCCCGGTTCCCGCGCCACTGCAGATACCTACGATATACGAATACACACACCTACACAGTCATTGCTTTTTAAATTAATGTTTGAGGTTGAAGTGCAACTAAAACAAAGTAGGGTACATCTCCTCGGCAAAAGATACAAAGATGCTTACCAAGCTATATGTCAGTCAGGACTCAAGAGTCGTTGCTCCGTGCACTGACGCGATTTCGTGCAGGCGTGCAGGACGCGATTTCGTCTTGTCTGCCACATGTGGCTACGTCCTCTACGTCTCTGTTGTTTTGTGTCCGGGAAGCGGCTCATTCCGAATGCGACCGAGCTCTTACCGCCGCGGCCGCACTGGGACACGCACGGAAATGTTATTTCCGCCAGCGTTGCCGGTGTTCCGGAATTGGATTATTTTGCCGCGGCGTGCTATCTCTCGTGTAAGTCCCTCGTGAAGTGGTATGAACTGGTCTGGAGGAACTAGAGGCTTTTGACGGATTTAGATAAACCTTGAAGTGCAAAATCAATCTTTGTATTTTTCGTTGTGAAATGTTGAGTGGATAATACCTAAGTGTAAATAGGTCATTGTTCTACTTCTGACGTGCCATAATTTGGTCGGTCAAACCATTTTTATTTATTAATTGATTTCTTTTGGCCAATATTCTCTGTTCAAATCACCTCAGGGAGGATAAGGAACTGAAGGATATATTAATATGGGAGACATTGGGCTAAGTAGATTACCGACAGCTGCCAGGGCCTCGTCTAAGGAATTTTCACTGGGGGGGCAGAGACTGAAGGAGCCAAACCTAGGGTACCCCCAAATCCTGTTTTCTCACCGGATTTAGGCCACTTGTTTTTCGTCACAGCCCTGAGACCATGATTTTTTAACAATTTTCTTTTTTAATTTGATTTTTTAACCTGCGCCGGGTCGGGGATTTTCGAACACCCCCCTGCGGTTTTTGGCACATCATGCATCTTTTCCGCACATGTTATGAAAATTTCAGACCCAGGTCACTCAAGGTCAGGTCACCAGGTCACGTCAAGTGACCTCACCTCAGAAAAAGTTAGAATCCTCGTCATAGCTGCACCGACCGAACGATCACCTTAAAACGTTCAGCAATTGATAAGAGTAACAGTATATACAAAATGTGTATCTCGGAATTTTGATATCGGTGACATAAGGTCAGGTCAATTTTGCGACCTCTCCATTATAAGTCAACAGGAGAAAATTGAAAGGCGCCTTTTTGGACGAACGTCATTCCAAACACTCTCACGCATTGTGTTACAGGTAAACTCGACAAGCTGAACCGAAACATGGCACCCGTGACCTCTCCTTAGGACCCTGAGGTCATATCAGGTCATAAAAGGTCCCAGGAATTTTTTAAGGTCAAATTTTCAAAATGACCTTTCAACGTCAAATTATAGTTCATTCGACACGTCTCGACAGGAGGAACACGATGCTGGCAAAATAAATGCTACTTCCCTGAGTCATAAATTGTTGCAGAAAAACATTTTTCATGACAACGGCTATTTTGGGAGTTTTTGCCCTCTGGAGACTAAACCGTTGACCTGAAGTCAAATCTGAGGGCGCAGTGGCGAAAGAGCGTTAAAAGAGCTATCGAATGGGCTTTTCCGCGGCGCTGTAGCTCTATCGGTTCCAGAGTTAGCCGTTGGCAGTTCCCAAAATTGTTGAAATAGACAAAATTTGACCTTTGATGACCTCTGGCGACATGACCTTTGACCTGGCCTAAAAAATGACTGAAGTGCTTCCGTCATTATTTTTTACGCTCTTTCGAATGCCGCTTACTGCATGTCGCTACATGGCCCAGGAGCGGAGTTGGACGGGGGGAGGGGGGTTCAGACTAGGGATGCCAATTTCATGAAATTTCAATTCCAATTCCGATCCAATTCCAAGAATCTGCCAAGTAAATTTCCATTTTTGGTCCAAAGCGGGGGCTATTCCGATTCTTTCCCGATTTTTTTCTTGCTTTTTTGCGTACATTGTAAAAGCGCATTGGCCTTGTGTTCCGATGAATTTCCGAAAAATCTTAAGAATTCCGTCCAAATTCCAAATTGGAATTGGACAAAAAATTGGAATTCCAAGAAAAGAAATTATGATTGGCATCACTAGTTCAGACACCCCCGGCCCAGCGCGATAGTGACGGAGCACCGCACTATGGGTCCGATGCACGATTTAGCACGCCAAAAATGATTTAAGTGACTTTCTCAAAATGGCTTGAAATGTGACACAAATAACGTAAAAATGTCCATATTTTGCGAACACAGCAGTAACTTTTGCCAAAAATGTCACATGTACCCAATATTTCATCGCAAACTGACACATATCGTGGAACGCCATTGCCTTGTCCACGTCCGAGAGAAAAGGGATGTTGGAATTATCCGAGTATAGGCGGTTCTAAATAATAGTTAAACGGAAATATTTGGTCAAAACTAATAATTTGAAGCTTGGACAATGTGATGAATGCAAAAAAAGTGAGCTGTGTCATTGCTTTTTTATTGTCACAGCTAATTTAAATATCCATGTCACAGATGTGTGTGCAATGCTTCAAGAGACTTACAAATACAGAGCAATACTAAATGCCCCCCAATGCCCCCCGGTATTTTTGGTATTACCTTGCTCCCCAATACTTGCCTGACCAGAAACAAGGTCATTTAGCTGCGTCCACCTGCGACGAAGCAAGTTATGAAGCTTTTTCCAATGATGTCACTGCGCTTAGCTGCGGCTGTGACATACCGGCGAGCGCTGCGGCAGGGTCACAAAGGCAAAAATACCAGGGTATTGGTGGATACGACTAATGTATGACAGAAACTCATAACTGATGGCTTTGCAAAAAAAAAAAAAAGGCAGTTCTTTCGGGTTAGCGGTCCGAATTCCGGACATTTCGGCACTTGTCTGGCGACCTGGCCCTCAGGCGGTTTGACCGCGTGCCCGGCCCACTGTACCCACGTGGCCGGGGTAGTTTGAGCTTGATTGTAGCGAGCGCACGTATATTCTTGTCGTTCCATCACTAGCAAAACAGGCAGATAAGCAATGTGTATTGCTTACAAAGCCATTCTTGACACCGTCTTGACCAGTCCAGATGTAGGGCCGGTTCAAGTAGAGGATTTTTCAGCTAGCATTGCTCGTATTTTGAATGTTCAATTGACGACTGATGACATTCGAGCACTGGGAAAGCTGCTTAACAAGTTAAAGGAAAAATGGATAGCCGCTCATCGCAATGAAGATCGCTTTCTGTCAAGAAACCAAAATTGGACTCAGCTGACATTTTGTCTGTCAGAGGCCAGAGCCTGCAACCTGAAAACGGTTGACATAAAAACGTCCAGCACTACTATATACAGGGTGTCCCAGAATTACCCGGACATTGTTAATTAGCGTATAAAATAAGGCAAACATGATTGCGCTTTTTTTCTTTTTATTGTCCTATATAGTCAACTAGGGTGGCTGTGAAGTAGCACATGCAATAGATGCGCTTGTTACAAGATCAGCCGACAATGATTGAAAATGCCAGCCATTGCTGGTCTCAGTTGTTTTACGGCTCTCCCGAAACTGGGTGAAGGCCTGTTTTCTTTGACCTGTTGCCGGAGGATAATACGATCATATAAGATAAACTTAACATCAAAGTGTTCCCAGGTCATAAGGCATTATCCCCCAAAACAAAAATTGCTGCCTACACCACTTTTGCCGCGTTTTTTACATCTGAAGTGGAGAAACTCCATCACTGAAAGAAAAAAATACCACCCTAGTTAGTTTTTGGGTGGTGGTCATATTTTGAACAGCCTTTTACTTATGGTAAACCAGTTTACGATCCAAATACTAGGCCCAATATCAAAGGAATACTATGCAACTACCAATGCTCATCAAAATACCATGGTCTTAGTACGGTAATATTTTTTCATCATACTACCTTGAAACTAAAGCATAACTAATAAGAAACCAAAGCTCTACTAACGCTAGTATTATCCTGGTACCGCCTACTAAGAAAAATACCACCCTAGTTAGTTTTCGAGTGGTGGTCATATTTTGAACAGCCTCTTACCTATGGTAAACTAACTTACGACCCAAATACTAGGCCTAATATGAATGTAAAACCATGTGAATACCAATGCCAGTAAAAATTACCATGGTATTAACACGGTAACTATATGTCGTCATACCATGCCCAAAAACCCACGTGATACTAGCACGAAACTAGGACTTTACTATCGTTAGCTACTCCCTGGTAATGCTTACTAATGACTTATCATGGTAAAACCATCCTTTTGTCATCTGGATACCAGCTTTGCTT